ATCTTCTAACTAGGTTGATGAGAGTAACAGACTTTGCAACAAGTTGTTCCAACAAGTCCGATAACAACTTGTTTTAGACTTGTGACAACAACTGGGAACAAATAGTGCGAACACCTGCATCCTGATATCAGTTTGACAACAATCTCGTTACAACCTGTTTGCATAAAAACTGAATGCCTCGTGTAACATGGCCTGACTTTAAATGAAAAGAAGAGGCAATATAAATGCAAAATGTCTTTACTTACTCCAGATTTTAAATAAACTGGAACAAAAAAGTATCCGAGGATTAAGAGGGTCCACGCTGCCTGAAAAGAATTTTTGTACAATGTGTTATTTTCGATCAAGATGAGCATTCGGGCATTGTTTAGATCCATTGTAAGTTGTTTTTAGTTAAGCGGACTATCTATTCTGATTTTTGACAAACGTTTTGACCATTGCTAACCAATCGAGCTAAAACTTTCTGTATGGATAGAATTCTGGTTGAATCTTCCTATAAAGCTCATGAATATCTTTCTTTACTCCTTTCTTTGACCCATCGGGCACCACGTGCTGCATGCATCGTCCACTTAGTAAAGTCCATCCATATATTCAATCAGACATACATATCACCCATTAACAGATCTAGAGCCATGAGCATTACTGGTAAATATACCACCAAGAACACCTCAATATCACCACCATACCTGCCATTCATAACAGACGATTGAAATGTCAGTACCATCATAAGCAATAAAATGTACACCATCAATGTTACTGCTGAGTGTACTACCAACAGAACCACAATACTACCACGCCTGCCATTCATAACAAAAATGACTGCCATGACAATACCATGACCAGGAATACTAATAAAATGCGCACCATCAATACTACTGGTAAATATACCATCACCAACAGCTCAATATCACCATACCTGCCATTCATAACAGACGACCGCTATACCAGTAGCGGCACCATCACCAGCAATACCAATAAAATTTGTTCCACCAATGTTACTTGCAAATAGGCTTCCCCCCACCATCCACCAGACTAAAGAACGACCAGCTAAGAAAAAACTCTCTGCCGATTCCTGTCTTCGTCCACGTCGAAATTTTATCTGAATACATCAATCAATGAGTTCAATTGATCAGCCAATTAATCACGCAATTAGTCAGACAATCGATAAATAAATCACTCAAACGATAAATTACCGGAATTGGTTAATTAATTAAGCAATCAATTGGTCAGTCTATAAATTAACACATCATTCAATTAATCAGCCACGAAATTAATATATCATTAAAGCAATTCATTAATCAGTCAATCGATTAATCAATCATTTAATAATGTATTATCTATCTTTCAACCAATTAATTAATCAGTCGAACAGTTAATCAATCGATTATTTAATCAATCACTAATTAATCAATCAAATTGATTGATCTAATCAGTCAATCAAACCAGCCAATTCATCAATGAAATCTATCGGATCAATCTATGTCAATTAGATCAATCAAATCAGTCAATCAAATAAATCAGCCAAAATCAGTTAACCCAGGTAGTTAAATTAATCAAATCAAATCATTAACGATGTAAATCAATGTCAAGCAAGTCGATCAATTGACATTCAAATCGATCAATTAGTAAATGAAATCAATTAAGTTAATCAATCAAATCAATCAAGTCAGTCAAAGAAATCAATCAATCCTCAATAAAATTAATCAATTTGTTCATTAATCAATCAGTCCGACAGTTAATAAAATCAATCAAGTGAGTCATCCAATCTCTCAATCAAACGGCCAGATTAATGGTTGTCCACTTGTCCATGTAAAAAACTCCGTAATACTTACCGCCAGACCAAGACCAATGGTAACAACAAAATAAATGGCGATTGCCAACCAATCCTCCCATTCCAGTTTGCGGTTGTCTGTTCTCATCCTCTTTACTATTGCTCTGTAGGACTAACGACAACAGAGTGCATGTGTCACGGAAAATCAATTTGATAGTTCTGGAATTACAACAACAAGACTTAGTTTTCTACTCGAGTTACAGCGCAATGCTAAAGTTCCAAAAAGATGTCGCCTTGCGAGAGATTTTAATCTATAGTATGATTAACCAAAAAACTAAACCCGTAGTCTTGGGTCTCATGACGCCATATATCCACTCAATTTTTTTTTGGGGGGGGGTCAAGGGTTTGTGTCATGGGTAAAGGACAGATAATTTCGTCCCAGTCTTCCGGTCGGATGTATATATTGCACTCAGGCGAGATTTTGTGTCGTGATGTTGGCGAATTTGTGACGTAAAATGACGTAGCAGTTACAAAATACATACACAGGGATTTTACGAAAACAATCCAAGTAGAATCGACTAAATAACTGTGTCGGAACTGGAAAACACCGGATTAGCGATGTAATTTGGTGGTCTCCAAGCAGTAAGCAGCGTGTTTTCCCCGTATAAAGTGATTGGTTTACATGCAGTATGTTGGATTTTCACGATGCAAACGATCGACAATATTTTGAATAATTCAGGCAGGGATAGCTTTATTTCTTTCTGGCGATGTACTTGAAGGCATTTATATTTAGATCTGCAGCTGTTTAGTGTTCGATATAGAGGTATTGAAACAATATGATTTCATGTATTTATCAGCAGTTTTGATAGCGCACTGATACACTTTATATACAAGAAGTCGAAATGAATAATTTTAGTTTATTTCGGTTTGTGTGGCGATGTGCCAAGGCGATGAGTTTATAGTGTTCATTCTATAGAGGTTTATAGCAATGTGCTTTGAGATATGTCGATTATTATTATATGTTATAAATATATAGTGTATACTCGAGTCTATACTATAGTCTATATGTATGCAGCATTTGCGTGAGTACATATGGTGTATATAGTATTCAATAGTATATTGGCAGATTGGCTATTACGTTGAATAAGGTCAATATAAATTATTGTATGATGTTTCATTTCAATGATTTCATCATTTGTTGTAATTTGCGCGCTATGTATTCGTTTTGGATATTTCTTGTAAAGGTATCAAAAAACGGGAGCAATTGCAGAATACCCGTTTTAAAGAATACCCGTTTTAAAGACCCGCTAGAAGTATTGGTGGGCTACGTGGCTACATAGTGAGTTATAAATTAGAATGGTATAATAGATTATAAGGTAGCTATGTACGTAAAAAAAATTAAATATACCTTCCTTACCTTCCTATATTATGTCTCGTTCTTTTAAAGACTCACTGCATATAAACAGTAAAAAATATAGCTACCTTATAATCACGCAATTATTATGCCATTCTAATTTATAACTCACTATGTAGCCACGTAGCCACCGATATTTCTAGCGGATCTTTAAAAGTGGACGGGTATTCTGCAATCGCTCCGTATATTTTTTAGTGGCTACACGGCTACACTAGTGGACGAGTATTCTGCAATTTAGCCAAAAATAATTATACATGACTCATGAGGTTCGGCGCATGAAAAGCACGGCGTCTAAGTCAATGCATGTCGAACCTGTGTCGCATATACGACTTGTCTTGTCGCATCTTCGAGTCTGTATTGTATTGTATTGTATTAAAACTTTATTTAGAGACACTAGCCCCGTCAACGGTGCGTTGATTTCCACGGGGGGCGTCTACAATGTTAAAAATTACAAAAGATATAAGGGAAAAGAAGACTATTTACAAATTGTGTGACCCCAGATGTTATGGTTAGACGGAGTTACAATTTATTTCAAATATATATAGTATTAGAGTTAAGTTTTAAATGGCTTTTGAACAGGTGCATTGATTCTGCCAGTTTCGTATCGATAGAGAGACTATTCCATAGCTTAGCCCCACTGTATTTAAAACTCTTTTTTTTTTTCTTTTTTTTTCTTCTTTCTTTTTTTTACTTAACTGATTTAGACGCCGCTCCAGAATCGCACTTAATCCTTGCATTAGATTCGGCGTCGCATGAAAAGCTCACGGTCTAAACCGGGCCTATAAGAACCGTCTAAACGATTCCAACATTTCCAACGTCGTTCAACCATGTTGAACAATGTTGGGTGGAAATAGTGTAGTTTTAAGCCCGCTCCAACATCCCCCTAACATAATTGTCACATGGCCAGAAATCATAGATATGATTTATTCTACTTCCTTCGTAATTAGTCGGTGGGGCCACTGTGGTGCCCACCGACTCTAGGTTGTTCATCATTTTTGAACCTTTGACGAGACTGCTACCTTTCTTTGTCCCTTTGAAACTAATATTTCACTCGCTCTTAATGCCATAGATTTATTTAATTTGCATATCATATGAAACGAAGTCCGCGAATTCATGATGGAAAATGAGATAAACTTATCCTTTCTAACTGAAACTTGGCTCAATGACTCAATTACAGATAGCGTTGTAAGTATACCTGGGTTTACAATCATACGCAAAGATAGATCTATAAACAACCATGGCGGAATTTGTATTTATATCAGAGACGGTGATACGAAACTCAAAATCCTTTCAGAAATTTCATGTTGTTCCGAACACGAAATCTTATGGCTTCATTTAAAACCTAGACGACTTCCTCGTGAATTTTCCTCAATCATAGTTGCCGTCCTATACCACCTCCCCAGTGCCGACGATTTCAGCATGCAGAGTCACTTATTTCAGACACTGAGCGAAGTCGAAGCAAAATTTTACAACTGCGGTATTATCATTGCTGGGGATTTCAATCGTCTTAATGTGAATCATATAATTAAGCATTTTCGGTTGAAACAAATTGTTAAATCACCAACTCGAGGCGAAGCAATACTTGATCTTATATTAACTAATATGCACGAGTTCTACAAGTCTCCGCAAATACTCCCTCCAATTGGATTATCTGATCACAACACAGCTGTAGTTTCACCCACTCACATTGTGAAGAAAGCAAAACCTACATTTGTATACAAACGAGACCTTCGTCAGAGTAAGAAAGATGCCATGGGGAGATTTTTACAATCAATCCTTTGGCCTGAAATTTTTGCTCAATCACAAAGCTGTGAAGATATGGCGAATTTTTTTTATGACATTGTAGCTATTGGTCTTGACCTCCTCATGCCAATTAAACGGATTAAGAAAATCTCTGCAGATGTTCCTTGGATGACCGATAAATTGAAAACATTTATAAAAAAAGACAAGAAGCCTTTTTCAGTTACGGTCCAAAATCCAACTGCTTTAAATATTACCGAAATATTGTCAATCGCGAGAGAAAAGCGTGTAAATCAAAATACTATACGACCCAGGTTCACAGTAAAGAAAAAGATAACCCTAAAACTTGGTGGAGTGAAATCAAACGCCTAGGAGGAATGAAATCAATGAATAGCTCCCTAATAAATTTGATAAATATCGCTGGTCTTGAAGATATATCGGAACAAGAACTAGCAAACAGAATAAATACAGCTTTTCTTGAGCCCTTATCAGAATATCAACTTTCTTCACCGTTAGAGCGACTTAACCTAGAGGAAAACCCAGATTTCTTAGAAGTTTCTGAAGAAAGGGTTTTATCACAGCTACAAAAACTCAACCCCAGTAAAAGTGGTGGCCCTGACGAAGTGCCCAATTGGCTCTTGCGAGAGTATGCTGTAATCCTTGCCCTCCCAATTAGTCTACTCCTAAATGCATCCTACAAACAACAACGCCTACCTGCAATATGGAAACTTGCGAATGTTTCACCGCTGCCAAAAGTAAAAATAGTACAGGACCTGAAAAAAGAACTTAGGCCCATTTCTTTAACACCTAATATTTCGAAGGTTGCAGAGCATTTCGTTGTTAATGATTATGTGAAACCAGCTGTTTTGAAGAAAATTGACCCCAATCAGTATGGAGCAATCCCTAAATCATCGACGATTTTTGCTCTTCTTAGTATGGTGCATAACTGAACCTCCGGGCTTGACGGTACCGGTTCTACAACTAGAATCATTCTATTCGATTACCAAAAAGCTTTTGATCTAATTGATCACAGAATTTTGTTCAATAAACTACTTCAGTTAGATCTACCACGAAGTGTTATAAATTGGATTATTGATTTCTTAAGTAACAGATTCCAAAGAGTCAAACTTTCGAGGGGTGGAGAAAAGCCTCCGGAAATTCCCACAAACCCCACACTTTATGCCTGGTTCACATTGGTTGTAATTCATCGGCGATCAATTGTATTCTTTTCCGACAGACAAAGCATTTTACACACCAATGACCGCAGACAATGGAAATTGCCGATACTTACGACGAGTGTGAACCAGGCTTTACGTGGGTTAGGTGGTAAACGCGGACATGCGGACACGCGGACACGAAATGTGAGCTTTGCGAGAAGGTTGTTGCAATGATTGCATGGAAAAGAGCGCGATTTATCATCAACCCGTACGCTATTAAAGAAAATGGCCTAATACATAATAACAAAAATGATCCAGCTGTATAATCTCTCGTGATACACTGATAACCCATAGCGGTGATTCCAGCTGTATACTCTCTCTTTTCGTATTGTCATATGATTCAACTCTATTTGTATGTATTTTGTATATGTTGGTCTGTAAATGGCCAGATTCTCAAACTATAAAATTTTATCGTGATAAAGGGCGAAACTAAATCGTAAATTGAATTATAATTTTTACATAATACAAACCAGTTCACGCTATCAAAATTTCTTTGTTAATAAAGTACACTTTGGAACCAAATTAAAGGGCTTATATTATTACGTGAAACATGATAAGCAATGATGGGAAGAGGGGCGGGGGGAGAGGTATTTATGGTCCTGAAAAACCGATTACTCCACTTACAAACGGGCATATTTGTTCGTAGCTATTTTCCTAAGATAAACTATAACTTTAGACTACTTCAATCAACTGTTATAGAATTGCTCGACATAATCAACAAGTGATATTGACTTTGGGATAATAAATGGGATTGTGTTTCTGGATCTGAAAAAAGCATTCGATATTGTCGACCACAATATACCTTTAGACAAAATAGCAATTTATGGAATAAAGGGAACGGCTCATCGCTGGCTTGAGTCGTATCTATCAAATAGGACCCAAGGAGTACTGTTGTGTGAATGGTAACTATATCAAATCCATCAATTATGAAAACAGGCATACCTCAAAGTTCTGGTTTTGACCCATTGTTATTTCTAATTTACATCGATGATTCACCAAAATGTTTAAAACTGGGGTAAAACCAGACATGTTTGCGGATGATACACAAATTCCAACATCAACAGGGACCGCGTAACAGGGAGGCCGGGAAGGCCATGCCCCCCACTTTTTCAGCGGATAATATGAAATTATAGGATAAAATCCAGCCTGCCTGCGTGGAATAGCTCCCGTCCTATCCCCCCCCCGCCACACACACTTTTAAACAGGTTCCGAGGTCCCTGATCAAGTGTCGATATTAAAAGTAGTCACTGATTCACTGACACATTAAATAGAGATTTAAACGTTGTTGCAAATTGATTGTTCGCAAACAAATTAACTCTAAACAATAGTTAAACCGAACATGTGATATGTAATTGGTTCCAAGAAAAAGCTTAGTCAAGTGACCACCGATCTTGCTATCAACGTAGGTAATTTAGAAATTAAGAAAGTGGAAACGACAAAATTATTGGGCCTAATGATAGACGATTTTCTAAACTGGATCGACGCGCAGGTCGAACACATTTGAAAAAAAGGTCACCTCAGGCCTTGCTATTCTCAAACGACTCAGGGATACAGTCGAATACAATACCTTAATAACAGTATACCAATCCATAATTCAACTTTGCTCAAGTGTGGGGTTGCTTAGGCTAAACATTAGCAGCTAAAGTACAAGCATTACAAAACAGAGCGTTTCGAATAATTACATGTGAGACACGATCGGCTGATATATTAAATAAGCTAGGAGTTTCGAACCTCGAAAAAAGAAGAATGCAACAACATTCAATTTTCATATACAAAAACAGATTGGTCCCCGATTACTTGTGTGATATGTTCACAAATGTGGGTGATGTACACAACCATAACACATGATAGTCCGGAGCCGATTTTACATTGCCTAAACCAAAAACAAATAATATGAAAAATGCATTCCCCTATAAAGGTGCGGAAGTCTGGAACTGCCTTTCTGCAACAAGCATCGACAATTATTACTAATTTTAAGTTTAACTTGCAAATGAACATCGGGTAATCCTGCCTTTGTCTCTATCTATTTTTAATGATCTTTTTGTAAATAATATATTTTTTATTTCTACTTGTGTGAACACGGCTGGTTGGAAGATCACCTTTTTTCTTTTTATATTGTGTACATAATTATTTTTATTGGTTGTTTTGGGGCTTTTCTGGGATGAAATTTCCGACAATTCGCCGATTTTTCGTAAAGGTTTTGGGGTAAATCCGGCACTCGAAACTTACTACGCCACTGCAATCAAGATTTCATTCAATCCGGCAGTCGTTGTGTACTGTATTTAGTATGTAATATTTAAACAGGAAGCCTAACTGACTGATGTTTACTGTTATCAACTGTAGAGATATATCGATCACTTTCTTACAGCGGCCACTTACGTCAGTTACGAATGAATGGAAACCAGAAAGTTTCGGATTGAGAGGGATTAAAAACCTGTAAAATACAAATAAATCTTCCACGGTTCGAATGCCCTTGGTAGGGAAGTTCCTTAGTTGGCCATTAACTTCCCAAGGAAGGGTCTTCGCTCAAAACATCGAAGTTTTACGTCACTTTCCAGGTGGTTGAATCCCTATCAAGTGTTATTGATACTATACTTACGCTGCAGGGACAGACCGTCTGAGTTTAAATGGAAACTTGTGTCGTTCAAGAAGAATCTTCAAATTTGAAAAAGCTTCTTCCAAAATGTTCATAAGTTGCTTTATAGTTTTCAAAATGTGTTGACCAAAATCTTCATAAATCAGTGAAGGATTATTGTGGACATGTTATGTCACCAGCAGGATGACGCAAATATTTTCCCAAATTTGGAATGCTCATCATCGTTCTAAGAATCTATCAATTGTTAGTTTGTTCCCATAGGAGTATCGTTAAGCCTGCTTTTGTCATTACCAAAACCATGCACCATTAATAAGATGAAGAATTAATCTAAAATGACGGGAAGCCTATTGCTTTCAGTAAGTAAAATATGACAAATTGGTTAGGGAATTTCATATGAATTTTTGAAAGTATAAAATATTCTAGGCTAAGTATGTAATTAGGTAATCTTAATAGTTAATGTAAAGCTCATTTGATCATATTCACATATAAATTTACGCTATAGAAATGTGAATCACAATAGTGTACTAACGATTTCTATGCTCGGTTTGCACCTCTGACCTTGTTCCACGTTCTAATTACTAGCTTCTTACGATCACGAGATTATAGTGTCAAAGTGCTAACTTTAAATATTAAAATATTATTTGACAGCAACAGCAACAGCACCAATTTGGCCATTTTTGTGCGCGATGATGTTTGACATTGTATCTGTCATTCAAGGTTATTACTGTATACGTGATTGAATTACTCCTGGTAGTGGTAGTTGTATGACGTCATCATAGCATACACCCTCCAGTTAGTTAACAAGTCTGTATAAATTTACATAATATGTAGCTTGGTTGATGTTGACTGACTAAACCATCGACCAGTTTTACCCTGAGTGGGATCATCAAGTGACTCATGTGAGATGAGCCAATTAACATAATTTGAAAATGCATATATTTCTAGATATGGTTGGCTTGTGTTGGTGTGTTTGGTGTGGGGATGTCTATTGGTGTATCGGTTGGTCTCTGCAGTGCCATGGGGTTACTGTTTGGAACAGCTCATATGACGCTACCTTT